TCCCTCTTAAACTTCTTTATGAACTGCAAACTTCAGTTTTACTTTGTCAAAATACGGTCATAGCTCGGGACTCAGAGATACCTGCAACACTATGCACTAGTGAACACACTTAGTAGCCTAATAAGATGCAATACAAATAGGCCGAAAAACTTCAGGAGTATTGTCTGTTTAAAGACATTGTGGTAAGCCTGTTGTTTTCAGGCTAATTACATTCTACACATATATTGTAACAGAAAAGTAAAAATAAAAAGTAAAAAAAAAAAGTAAAAGTAGTAAACTGATATTATTAAAAAATATTATCACACACTCCATTTAAATCACACTTTTTGGACATGTATTTATTGTTCATGAAAGTATTCATACATAAGCAACTAGGTTTTTTGTAAACATCACAGGGAATTAAAAACATTGCTTACTTAAAAGTAGCAGAATCCAGCCTGTAATTTTAATACAATGATATAGTACTTTAAAAATAATGACTTCAGTTATATGCACATATATAATATATATAAATAGACACACACACTTGTTTCTATATATGCATGTAAGCAAATGCATCTCTGCCACAGCCAGGTAGGGTATTAAAAGAAATGTATTTTTTTTAATTCATGTTCAATACATAGCAAAGATACACTGTCCATTCACAACAAAATCATACCTATACAATATCAAATTCATATCAGGCTTTTCTGCAGTGCCAATAATCTTGCAGATTCTCTTTACTGAATATTACAACTATGAAGTCTTAGAAATACAATCACTTTAGAACTTTATGCAACATTTAACATGCTGGTCAAAAGTAAAAGGTTAAAAAGGAATGAAATATTAACACTATCTTAAGCAAGTAGAAAGATGAGGACCAATACTTGTAAAATACCTTAAGACTGGTGGAGAGATTTTCAGCTTACATTAAGTGGTAATTACTTTGTCTGTAAATACTTTATCTCCTCTTTTTAGGTACACAAGACTCACAAAGAAAGTGCCCTAAATTACAGTACATCCTTTTCCATGTGCCCAGAGATACATTCTCCTACTAGCAACACAGTGCTGAAACCACTCCTGTGAAATATTTTCAAGAGAACCCAAGAGCCATGTGTAAAACATGTTAATTCAAACTATGCAGTGTATACATACCAAGTTTCATAATGAGTTCACTAAAGACCCTTCTGCTTCAACAACCTCGAGAGACAAATCATTGCCACCTCAAAAGAAAGGCACTAGACAAACACGATGAACATCACTACAGAAACTATGTTCACAATAATCTACAGCTTGCCACTGAAATAGTAACAGCATATGAACGTGTTCTTTCCCTCAAAATTCAGTACAAGTTTACAGATCTGAGAAACATGCACTACTATACAAGATTTAATATAAATTCTTATTTCAGATAAGTTGTATTAAGCTTCAGTTCTGAGACTGCTCACAGAACTAAAACAATTTACTTCATCACAACTGACAGAAGCAGAAATGAACCTATAGATTTTCTTTTAAAAAGAAGTTCTCTTTTACCACAAAGACTTGCTACTTGTCTCAGAAACCATTTCCCCTCTGGGGATACTCAGTCAATAGTATGTGATCGATAACTTCAGGTATTTCTATATTTGCAGAGGCATAGCATGGCACGATCTCTATCAAAACTTCCTATAGTGTTTCTTGCCTAATCTATATAAATGTAGTGTATCACTCTAAGTACTATAACATACTATAACAAGATGAGTCAAATGCAATTCATCAGTGTAAAAATATTAAAAGTAATCATTACTTTTTTTTTTCAATTAGTCAAGAAATAATAGGGGTGTGAAGCCAAAGTGAAATAGGATCTAGATACTCCTTAAATTCCATTTCAGATCTGAAACTCATAATAAATACTCTTCCCTCCTTCCCAATTTTAGTCGTACTTTGGAGGTTTTTTTTTTTCTGTAACGCTTCACCTTTCCCCTCCTTCACCTCAATAACTGTGCACTTGTAACAATCTTATTCCTTTGCATTTGTACAAATCCTCTTCCATAGACCTATTTTTATGCAAATTTCCAAAAACTATCATGACTGCAGCTACAGTCCATCAGCAAAACTCTCCATCCCCTTTAACAAGAAGTAGCACTAATATTTGCTGTAAGTACAGAGAAAGTATTGGGCAGGCAGGTGGTGTAGTTCTAGTAGCTGCTATGCCATCATCTCTCCTTGGGATCATCAAATTAAATTCTAAACTCTCAAATACTTTATTGTGTTGCATATTTATATTTTAAAAAACATCAAGCACATAAAAATACAGTAAGTGCTCAGGGATGATGAATTTCTAGGCACTTAATTTTCATTCTTTTCTACAGAAATTCTGTAAATACTTCTAAAGATCCCATTAGACACCAGTGTGTCATGGCCCATACCACTTTACGGCAAGGGCTAAATGATACCTTTACAGCAATTACAGAAGTCTTTCAGAGTAATGAAGATCCATTACACTGTTACCATAAATTATATTTTAAACAAGACAGATCACCTCAGTTGTACAATACTCTACAACAAATTTCAAATGTTTCTATAAACAGCAACAAAAGGAGCAACTGTTAAAGTCACGGAGAAAATAAACTGCCACCGGGAGAAAGCAAGGAGCTGAAAGCTGAGTGCAAGGCTGTCAAGACTGGTAAAGTGCTCAGACAACTACAGTGAGAAAAGACCAGTGGATGACAAAAGTTTAAGCAAAGGAAAAACAGACTTGTCCTTTCAAAAGGTTGATTTCAGAAGATTTTTTTTAATAACATATGCAAAACTGATGTGCAAAAATTTAATCATTCCCTCACATTTAAAATAAATATATAGGCTCTTTGGGCTGTAAGAGCATAAACATATAACAAATTATGAAAACAAATTATGTATAGCTGTTTAAGGGATTTATAATAAAAATGTTTCCTTTAGTAAAATCAGTTTCCTTTAAAAAGGGAATGAGTGGTTAACTTGCAACTGGTAAAAGTCTAGCAAGCACTTCGTATGTCTGAAACAGTATTTTGTGACTGTGGTCGTACCTGTGTCTACTTCAGTTTATCCACCTGAGCATAAGTAAAACAAAATAAGCATTAGTAAACATTTCTTTCAGAAGCACTTTGGAGTTTGCAGAAATACAGTAGGAAAACGCAAAAAAATTATAAAGAGATATTAATAAGACTCCAATAACTCTAGAGGTGCACTTCAACATGCCAGGGTATATATCTGTCACCCAATTTCCGCATTTTTTTTTCAAGCAGCTGAGAGCATTATATGTCACCTCATCTCTTTAACAACTGCAGAGAAATGACAAGAAAATTAAACTGTAAATAAGTGAAAGATACATAAACCTTTTTCATACCAGAAAGGCTACAGAAAATATTAGTAGTAACTGGCTTATGTTTATTTGGAATGACAAAGGTTTCTGGAAAAAACATACTGGTTTGGTTTGTTTTCTTTTTTAACCAGAAGTCCTCACATTCATCTTACAACTTCATGGACAGATTACTGTGAGAACTGAGTACAGAGTGTAATTTCCATGGGTCCTGCTGGAATCAGTGGAATTCTAGTGGTCACAACAGTTCCAGCATATGAACTAAAACACAGGATCAGCACGTTGTATATAAATTAAAAAAAATAACCCCACCCCTAAAAAAACCCGCTTTGCTACAGATTAAACACTTGCTGCAAATAAACAACACTGCAATTTCTACTATTCAGGACTTTTCTATGAAATTGTATGCAAATGCCAAAAAAAAGGATTGCTGAGGAGACACGTCCATGTGACTTGATCCTTTCAAGCTTCATTAAGAAAACCAGTTAATAATCACAACATTTGAAAGGTAAGATTCTTAGGTCTGAAAGTACTCAATTCTAGCCACACCAAAATATTAAAGGTAGTGTTGGTAGGGAGCTTATTTGAACAATTACTAGATTTTAGTTTCTACTATTCTGAATCCTGGAACAACTAGATGAACTATATGAAAAATAGAAATCTCAGATTTCAAATTAAACTAATAGGTAGTTGCTGTCATTGCTACCGAACCAGACTGCTCCTAAATCAGAAACAAAGGAGCATTTGCTAAAATGGTATTTATTGTAGGACTAGTAAGATAGTAGCTTTAGAATCTTTAAACATTTTAAAAATCACACTAGATCTGTGTCTGCAGTCAATTAGCAGACAACATACCGCAACGGAAGTTTTAGTATATTTTTCGCATGTTTAGGCTTTTTTCCCCCCTCAGAAAAATCTTTTCCACTCTCAGTTTCAAAGAATTTTTTAAAAAATTCAAAGTAACATAGAAAAAACTGTTACTAGTCAGTATCCAGTAATCTGCAAAAGTCTGCACTATGTACCAAACAGAACACACGGAAGTAAACCAGATATCTTTCAGCAGTTCTTTGGAACTCGATCTTTCAAATTTTTTTTTTTTTTTTTAAAACAAAACCCACTTGTGTTGCATGACACATACTTCTTCAGTGTTTTTACCACAAGCTAGTCATATGTCAAGAACTCCCTGTCTGCAAAGCATTAAAAACAGCAGATGTAGATTATTCCACACACTACAGACATGCATCCTGCAAGAAGCTATCAGGATAAAAATTTAGATTACAGCATCACTTTGATTAGAAACACAACTACAAGAATAAAGGAAGTAAGCATAACTGCCAAATTTTTGTTCTACTTTGGTCATGTAGAGTTATCCCATGCAGGTGTTCTGGAAGCTCAGCATGCAAGTTACGAAATTTAAAAAAAAAAACCAAAAAAAACCCCAAACAAAACCTCAGTATTTTCCCTGAATATTCTTGAACTACAATATCCAATAAGACAGAAATGCCAATATTCTCATCATCTTTTTACTCTTCAAAATTCAAATTCAGTAGTAGTGCATATACATTCAAGAGAGACAATAATTTGAACATACCTATAATAAAGACATTTAGTAACAGATTTTTCAGCTCTCAATTTCTTTCTCAGTGTAGTCAACGCATTAAGAAACAACTGCAGCAGCAACACCTCACATAAGCCATTGTTCTTGTTCTTTTCTGTACTTCTCAGACCACTTCTGAGTAAGCTCTAGGTAAACATTTGGTTTATGGGGCTTATAATCAAGGTAAACAACCTGTCCAGTCCGTTTGGGGACAGCTTTTTCAATCTGAGTTCCCTCATGCCATTCATTAAAAGATGTAATAGAAATAATTTCTGGTCGCACCAAAAGGGCTGCACTGAAGGCAGTCTCATAGTACTTCCCATTGACGCGATTACGGGTGTTGTGGTTGTTCCACGGTCGGATACTGGTATCAATATACCCTGGCCCCACACTTGGAATAAACATTAAGTTGTTACTATCACAAAAGGCTTTTAAACTTGCCCAATTATGATGAGATGAGCCATAGGAGAAGCCATTGGTGGCAAAGTACGTGTACATTCCATCAAAGCCACTTCTGTGAATGTCGTGCTTATGCCTTTCTTCTACAAGAAGTGCAATGAATAACGCATCATATGGAGTATTTCGAATAGTCTGGGATCCAGAAACAGTTAACAGATTTGCCCATATTTCAGGAATTGTTACATAAGAATCATAAACATAAAACATGGGAAGAAATCTGCCTGTGCTGGTCTTATGCCTGTAAAAGGCTGGATGGCCTCCATATCTATAAAGCAAACAAGTATCGTTAAGACAAAATTTGCCATTTGGAAAATACTGTTTTACAATCTGAGCTGAAGACTTTTCCTCAAAACTAATTTAAAAAGACAGTGCATGCACTTCAAAACATAGCAATTCATATCCATTTCCAGTCTAGTGTTTGCTGAAGTATTAAATAATGAATTGGCAAAGAACCTTTAAATTACTACAAATTAGTAACTTGGTGTCAAAGTGCACTACAGATATTAGTTTTCTCTGAAGGGCAATTCCCTAATTTAGTACGAAATAAGACAGTCTAAGTAGCATTGAAAAACAAAACAACTAGTAGCTGTACAGAATTTGTCAAACAATTAAAATCATTAGAGGTCAACACATTAAAGCTCTAGCTGCTAGTTTGTCATGATAAAAATGTATATTTAATTTATATATAATGCAGCTAATACTTTAACTGCTTTAATCTGAAGTATCATGACTTGTGATACTAATTAATGTTGAAAGCAATTTACATTTGAGTATCTATGTAAAATTCACAGTTCAATATTTAAAAAATAGACTTTGAGTTTTGTACCACTGAAATATGAACAAAGTTTCTTATAGTTTTGTTCAGTCTCAGTACACATTTTTATATATTCTTCCAAGTTTTAGATAATACATAGAAGTCCCGTAAACCAGCATGTTAAAAACCCCAAAGGAAACCATTCTGAAAGCACTCACTTGTCAATGATGTATTTGACATTGTGGTACATACTGCGATCATCTCTATCTTTGTAAGGCTCAATATGAAAAGTGACCTGAAAGATGAAAATGTAGTAACAGCAACACAAACGTAAAATACTATTGGATACATGGGCACTGTGTATTATATGAAGCAAGTATTAGCCACATTAAATATGGTTCTTCTTTACAGAGCAAACATTTTCGTTAGTCTATTTTGAGAACAATCCAACCCTAATTCAACTCCTGCACTGCTACGATTAGAAGCTTCAGACCCAAGGCAGTAATAGAGTAAATATTTAGTTTTCTACATTAAAACAAAACACTGGTTTTGTTTTCCGTAGGCTACAGTGAGTAGTAGGCATGCTTCAGAAAAGCTAAAAAACTACAGCAGACTAAAAACTGAAATAAAATATCATCTATTCGAATGTCAAAGAACTGATTAACCAATGAAACATTTTAATATTTAATTTCTAAACAATGTATTAAATTTGCTATGGATAATTCTCCAAGGAGAGTTTTCAGTGTCAAAACAGATTTTAAGATATGGGATATGAAAACTTTAATTTAAAACTTTATAGATTTATCAACAGCAATAAACTCTTGGAACTAAATCTAATATAATGTACTGCTGCTGCTCTGAATTTCAAGCTTGGAGCTTATGGAATTATTTAACCTATACATGTGAAGTCATTTCAATGTAAAAATGCTATTGTTTTCAAATGTACAAATAAATGGAAGAGTATATTACATTAATCAAAGCAACTAGTTTTTCAGAAGCGATTTTAGAGCAGAATGCATTTAATAAAGTCTTCAACAACTCTGCAACAGTAGCAGATTTCCATTATAAAGCCAATATCTTATCTCTATTAGGTACAAACTATAGAAAAATACCATGTTAGACTAAATCACTAGGACTGAAGACCTAGTTCTGACAGGACAGGCTGAAGAGCACTATAATTTCGTATTTCATTTCCAACTATCAAAACCAGGCAAATCAAAGAGACATATCTTTTTGCAGACTTGTATTTAGCAGACATATAGAAATGTATTTTGTCTGTTGGTTTCTGTCTACTGACATTCCTAACACTTAACTGTAATAACTTACTAGTGCAAGAATGTTTAAAAACATTACAGTGAAGGTAGCATTCCCTGGTACTATCTGTACTTAATATCTGTATTCCAGTAATTATTCCAAGCAATAACAGCAGTTCCATCCATATTCAAATCATTATCATACTATTACACGCATTTTCCTTGGTAGCTTATTTCATTTTGCCTTGGCTCTTTGAGAGACTTGAATATTAACAAGTTCTTTGAGGTGAGAGCAAGCTCCATCAGATGATCTGAAAATTTTGGGGAAGGATAATACTTTTTTTTTTTCTTTTTAATAATTTGCTATTACATATGTGCAACTTATGTCACATAATGCAATTCACACAGCATTTTTAACAGTTTCAGAATTACTTCTTTATCTGGTTTAACCTTCCTACTTTCCTCTTCCTTGTCAAAGAATCTACAGTTGCTACTAGTGACAGGAAATTTCTCTGAGAATCTGCAACTTGCATGACCAACTAAAACCAGAGCAGATGAACAGGCTGTATTTTTAGTCCCCAGTACAGACAACACCTGCCAGAGAGGAAACATATACAGCTACTTAGATAATTTAAAAACTCAAATTTATTACTTGGCAAGACTCAAAGGCAATGCATGTTTTCTTTATCCCAACAGAAAATGCAAGTTTTACTCTAAAAATAAACAGAATCAAACCACGATTTTAGATTCTACTGATCAATCTGTGTAATCTTTAATTGATTTGATATTTCACCTATTTCAGGAAGTCAGTAATTTAGCCTTTCCATCCTGTCATGCTCTGGAGTAACCTAAAGTCAGAGCAGCACCTCTCTGAACTTACTGTCCAAGGCAAACATTCCTGATGCCTTCTGGAATAAAGACATTCATTCAAACTAGAACTTCTAAATCTCTCTTTATTACTCACAGATACTTTCTCCTGACCTCTATGATCAGGTGCCAGCAAGTTATGCAATAATGCAAAAAATGAGGTTAGTCTTTCCTCTTTCTCAAAGTTCCTTAGTTTATAGATCATTGTATTCGATAATATTTTGAAATACGTAATACTTCCCTCAACTCCCAAGACTTATCTGAAAACAACAAATTTTCTAATTTTAAAACCTGTTTCCTAAAAAGGAAAAAAAAAAATCCACAGCGTTCCTTAGATTCTGTAAGCTTTAGATCTGAACCAAACCAGAAAAAAACAGGCAGATTATGATATTTATTCTAGTTATAAGGCAATATTGCTCAGGTCTTATCAAAATTCAGTGTAATTCAAAGGGCACTTATACCTGCTTCTATGACCCAAAAGAAGCACAGCACAACAGGAGACAGAAACAGAAGTCACCATTACATGACAAGCCTCCCTGCTCTACACCATGAGTGAAATGTAGTAAACTCTTAGCAAGGTTTACTTTCCTAAGTAGTCCTATTTTATGCATCTTAAAAATACTTTACCTTTAGATTATATTTGTGTGCATAATCCAAAATAACAGGCACCAAATCATCAGTTGGTTCTCCATTTTCATCAGCCATACCCGGTGGGTACCATGAAAGCACTATTACACCTGAAAATACAAAACTCAAGTTTTAAATTATGTTGTTTAACATATAACATGTATGTTATAACATTGTCATGAGTTATAATTATTGTTTGATGTGAAATGTACATAATATAAATGAGAATTTCAAATTACTTTTTAACTAATTATGAAATCTCAGTATTCTCAGTGGATTTTTACTTCTCTGTTTAAAAGACAAAAAACCAAACAGTGGTAAGATGATCTATCAAGGGAACAGATCCGTGCTTAGTGTCCCAAGCCTAACACTTCGAGCCATTCCCTCCCACTTTTCAGCACAGCATCCTAACCTCCAGGTTGTATCAAGAGGAGGAGAATGCTCCTAACTAAGGCCTTATAGCTATGCCACAGTACAGCCAGAGAACATCAAGATACATAGGGTTAGAGAACACTCAAGAGATGAGGGCTATGCATGTGATGAAAGAGATTCTTATTTTATGAAACTTTATTCCCCGCTGTATTTCTGCATTGTACCTCTGGCTCTACTACAAAACAACCACTTCATACTAGAAGCAGTGACTGTAATCCCACAACCTTCCTTCTTGCTAAGAGCTGTTACTATGGTCTAATCCACCCTTCCAACCATGCGAAATTAGTTTTTAAATTTATTACCTAAAAAAAAAATGCTGGAGTAACTCTCAATAATTTAAGGATGTTACCATTCCTGTCAAAAAAGATGACAACAAATACAATGTCCCTGTACTGTAAATTTTCCTGATGCTCTCCATGAAAGCAAAAGAACACATACCTCTTCAAAAAGGCTAACCCCTTTCCTTCTAAAATAAAATGCTGTCAGATAAATAAGTTAGACCCTTTGGGTGTGTAGCTGGAAATAATATCAGGAAGAAGGTAAGACAGAAAGAAATACATGAACTATTGATGTAGGAATATTTTCCTAACAATACTATTTAAAACATATGGAAGAATAAGTCAATGTGATTCTTTTTAACTAGGTAAAGACTTAAGTACACAAATCAGGTCACTGAGATAGGAAAGTATATACTCTAAATTCCACCTATTTTACTAACATTATAAAATTTCTGACTAACAATTTCCAAAGAAATGAGTTCAAAATTATGAAAAAGAAAGCATCAATTAGAGTGAATACACAATCATCTTCTAACATCAAAACCAGAAATTTGAGCTCACTATACACAGAAGTTAGTTCAACTACCCTGAGCATATTCTCTCCAGGTTTTATCAAAAAGAGAATCACAAATAATAGACTATCGCGAGACAGTCTCCTCAAGGACAACAAAAATGCAATTATTTTACTGCATTTTATCACCCTATCTTTTATTTAACACAAAAGAAAAGGACAAAATTCAAATGAGTAAGATGTAAAGGACATGTAGAACATCAGCAACAAACTCAGGTTACACTCAAGGTATCTTGAATACAACATCTGTCAAGATCCTCTTCTATACCTTTCGGAAATGGGAAGTTCAGGAGACAGAATTGTTCAACAGGGAACCTAAATTCGCATTTGCATTGGTCTTTCCCTGAGAAGGACTACTTAATATTTTCCTTCCTGTGGTTAAAAAACAAAGTTATGCACCACTTCAGGAGGCTAAAGAGGACTCAATGCCAAAAATAATATCATAAACATGTTTAAAAGCAGAGTAGAGTCATTCAAGACAAATGAAGGACTTCAAACTGGACCACCACAAACATAGGCTGGTACAGAAAAATAAATTTCACCAAGCAATCTGAGGAATAAAATCTATTGTATTAATCTGTTAAAAATTAGGAAATTAATAAATAAGGAAAGAATTGTAAAATATAAGAAGAATACAAGGAAGCACTGCATGAGATACCTGCTGGTCCAATTTCTTACATGCCTTTGACCATTACACAATACTGGCTGAAGGAACCACTTATACATTTCTCTCCTTTTGTAAGATCCTTGATGAAGCCTCCAAAAAGGCTAGAAGAAAAATTATTGTTTGACAGAATGTAAAATGCAGTCATGGATTAGGCATTGGCTAAGAGACAAAGGGAAGAAACTGTAAATAGTCAACCTCACAGCATACAAAAAATGAACAAAGTATAATTCTTCTAAGAAAAGATGTAATATTTGAAGTAAGGACCCGAGGAAAAAAAAATTGATGATTATGTTGGTCAAATCTAGACAGAAGAGAAAAAATTCAAGAACAAATCCATAAGTTAGAATAACAGCAGAAAGAAAATCACTTTTGACAAATACCAGTAATATGTTACAAAAAGTATGTCACCAGAAGCATGAACTACTCATTCACATTGCTGAGTTTTAAATGGAAAACTAACTTAAGCTATTAAAAAAAACTTATTTTGCAAAGCTTTTTTCTTAGTATTTGGTGCCTTTTCCATCAGCAGTTCAGCTTTATTAGACATTTGTATTAAGAGGATGAGAAACATCACAGATTCTTCTAAAGCTACAAGTGCCCTCTCTGCTTTTATCACACTATCATGCATTATTTTGCTTTAGATAAGACTAGAAAAGTGCTTACTGGTAACTAATACCTGAGATTTCTCTGCAACAGTTTTCCCATTGTTGATGGTGTTCCTGTTAATGGAGTTAGCGTATTACTGAAAAGGGTGAGAAATTTCCTACATTTTTATTAACCCTTGTACAAAATACAGGTTAGGTTAAAAACCAGGAGAAAACAATATCCAAAAAGTAAACATTATACCAGCAAACACAACTAATGGGAATATAACAATTACATCAAACCTTAATGATTAGGTGAATGGAAGTGATTCAATTCAAGGTGATCAGCACTCTGAATAATGCTATGAGCTCTGGTCATGTTGCTCCAACTACATTTACAGAAGCTGTTCAGAGTTTAATATTAGCTTATATGACTGCTTATTTTAAAGATGATGAAAATAAAAAGGACCGTAAAGCCCAACAACAAAGAATGACACCAAAAATATATTGAATATTCTTATGTATATAGTCCATCTTATTTAGAGAAAGGGAACATCAATTTGTATTGGAAAAAAAAGATACTTTTGGACAAAGAAATAAACTATAATTAGCTACACTGAACTATTGTACCCAAGTTTAGGAAGGTCTGGATTAGACATTTCCATAGCTAATGATAACACCTATAAATACACTGCATAAAATATAATTTGTATAAATGCTATAATCCTACATGCTCTTTCACATATGAATTAATACATAATTGTTATTACACACAAAGAATTCAGAAAAAAAACCCCAATGCTCCTATTTGAACAGACTGCTCCATAATTGCGTTAACATGATTTACTGAAACCCATTCTTAAAACTGCATTATTCATCTCCAAAAATAAAATACACAGACAATATAATCTAGCAATGGTTTCTGTATTTTCTGCATATGTTATCAATGCTTAACAGTAAGCCATGAAACACGTGCACCTACAGGATTACAAATACAGTTCTTATGTTTCTGTGCTGTTACACTCATCAGACACAGCTCTGAAGATGTAGGTTTCGGTCGGGGGTTAAAACTCAGAAATACAAAGACATTTACTAGTTTCAGACACTTCCAGAATTACACAGAAAAATGGAAGAATGGGTCAGTTGTGTTCATTCACATATTTAAGGCTGGACAAATGAATAACATGCTGAAATGTTAACACTCATTACCAGTTGAAGCTGAACGCATTTGTTTCATGTGGGCTTCTATGACAGAAGGGTCTTTGGAACTGTAAGATCCGAGTTCAGGATAAAAGTTGGCCCCAATGTCCTCAGGAGGATTATGCCTTCCCTTTGGATAATTGTTCGCAATTTTGGGATCCCAATGTGGCAACAATGGATGGTTCCAGTGAATGTATTTACCATCAAACTGTGGATTCCCAAACCAACTATAGTAGAATATGTGAAAGTTGTAATTAGGAGAAGACAGCTCTTCTTCCATCTTGTTTACAGAAGGCATAGATGCTTTCATAGTATTGACTGCGATACTATGCAAATTACTGACATGCGTTGCAGTGTCTCCTTGAACCCTATTTAGTGAATTCTGTTTATTGTCTAAGAGCACTGTCCGTTGTTGAAGCTCAGGCAACAAACCAAGTCCAAATGGATCCCCAAAGCCAGCTCTGTCAGGTCTCAGAGTCTTCAAAGCCATCATTATGGAGCAAATAAACAAAATAAAAAGCAACAAAATGATGCATGTTCTTCTGCGAAATCTTGCCATGATGTCATAGTTCAGAATCCAAACAGAAGGATTTTGGCCGCAACTGATCAAAAGACAAATATTTTAAAGTCAGATTTCTTATTACCTAATTCAACAGTATGAAATGCTTCGAAGTGTCTACATAATAGAAATAATATGGAGACAAATGTGACACGTACACTGACTGCATAACTAATAGGTCTTTGCTGGGGAGGGGGAACATTTCTGCATTTGAGAATGCATGTCAAGTTCTGAGGTTCTACCACCAAGGACTCACATGTTTTATAAAACATTTCACTTCTGAACTTCATTGTTTCCTAACCCAAATAAATCCCATGAAACACAAATTCTGATTATTTCAGAATTATCATGTTTTGACAAGTCCGATAGAAATAGCACAGAAAATAGGAGAAAAAAAAGCAGAAGCCATGAAAGGAGAATAACCCAGCAGAACAAGAGTGAAGAACAAAATGGGATATGACAGAAGTACAGCTTATGTTCAGAATACAGGTTTCACTTACTAACCTATTTACTGGCTTCAGACCAATCACTTTGTGTTTAGTTAACCAATACATTGACTAAATACTTTGGCAAATTAAACTCAAAACAATGATGCTTTGCAACTTTACAGATCTAAAATTCTAATTTGTTTTCTGAATTATCTAAACAAAAACCAGCATAGCATTAAGGATGTACCTCAAGCAGGAAGCCTGTAAGTTAGCTGCTGGCAGCCTGTTAGTGCAACGTCACAGCTCCGTGACACTTCATGGAGAATTCCAGGACTAAGTTCAAAACAAGACCAATAGTACACAGCAAGATCTGAGCCCTGAAAGTAGGGGGAAGAAAACCGATATAATGGAATGCCTGATTACTTTATTTATAACTTTAATTTCTGTTCAACATTAAGCACAAGAGAGCCAGAGAAAAGAATTAACAAAATTTAGATTACCACAGAATTATGTGGAACAAGATTATGCATAGAACTGACAACACTGAACTGGAAAATCTCGGAATAAATTTCTGATTCAACAGCCATTAGACATAGCATAGCTGTGATTTGTATTTCTGTCACTGACCTCCAAATTTTAGAATCCTACTTTAATTTACTGAGATATATGCAGGTCGCTTTAAAATACTTATAAAGTATCTAACTGGTAGTTTCCTACCACTGTTCTTTACTACCGTTAAAGTACATTAACATATAGCTCAGTTGTCACAACACTCTATTTGTTACTGCTGTGATAATTTTAGATAAGGAATTTTAGAATATGCTTTCTAACAATACAGCCTGAATTGAATTAGCAGTATGACACTGCCAAAAAGGGAACTTCTGCTTCCATTTCCAACCTTAATCTGTTTATCCCACTGCCTACTTTTAGTTACCTCTGGGATTCATCTGGTTTCCACAGTAAAGTCACTCATAGACTTCAACAGCAAAACCCTGTTAACATCTGAAAAACAAACAACAACAAAAAACCCTATGGACTTTTAACTTGTTAGAAGGCTGACTCAGCTGAATGAGTATCAATCACAGCACTAATGCCAACAAATGAGTTAATAGCACAGATGGGGGAAGGGAAGAGAACGAAAATGATGCTGCTCATTTTGCCCAACTGGACTGTGAAATCATACCTTTGGCTACTGTCAGGGAAAATAATTTTATGGCATATATGCTTACAGTACTTAATTTAAGACTCTTCATTAACAGATTTCACATCACTTTACACCAAATTACAGGGTTGTTCTTCTACAGCTCACAATCCATTCCAAGATCTTAGAATTTTGTCAAAGAGGTTATTTGGAGTCCAGAACATTTTTCTTCTAATAAGAAATTAACTTTAAATACATTCAAACTACTTCTACTATTTTTCCCGACCTTTTCAGTCTTCTTTCTAGTCTTATCATGCTACCCCTTCCTGGGAGTTTAACTCAATTTTCAGATTAGACAAACTGAAGTTTTCTAAAGGGTCAGGATTTTTTTTTTTTTTTGTTAAAGGAAACAATATTACTCGTCTGGCTAATGTATTACTGTATTCAGTTAACCCAGATGCTATTGCTCTTCATCAAACAACATATAGGACTGTCAGCGATAAATTACTTCTGCATTTATTATTTTATCTCATCTCTTCTCTAAAAAAGAATTCATGGCTGTAACATCTAGAATTAGGTCTTTCATTTGGGCTTTCCTATTCCATATCGAAGAAACTGTTCCGTTCTGTTCTTTGCTTGACATATCTGCTACTAAATTCCTCCTCTATTGCATCAAGATTTCACTATCATAAAGTGCTTTTTTCTGAAGTGTCAGGAATTGATCTTGTGCTCCATATTCTTATTTCAACGTGTATTTTTTCAATGGAGTATTTATCATGAAAGCACATTAAAAACTGTGCAGCATACTTAATAAAATTTGACTAGCATCAGGACAGACCCTGGTACACCATAGCATATTATGAACCTCTAGTATGCTTATACAGAGGCTGAGCATCGAAGTGTGAAATTTCTAGAACAAATAAGTGATACCTATGGTAAGGACTTGTGTTTTGGGAAGACATCAGTCAATGATGATGACATAATTCAGATTTGTCATAGACACCAATACTGTAGAAGCTGCATTGAAGAGCTACAGCTTAGCAATGCTTGCATTATGTCGTTTAATCTTGTTCAAAGCTACTCTTTAGAGACAGTGACAGATAAATTATGCTCATCAATGCTAGTGCCACAGCAGAATGGTAATATTGGGGAAACAGACTGAGCAAACATGCCATGTGAAACAGCTACCTGAAGTTATGTCTATCCTTGGAACTAGAAAAATCTTAGAATACCTTTCTAATTCAACAGCCATTAAAGCTAGCATAGCTGTGATTTTGTATTTCTGTCACGGACATCCAAATTTTAGAATCTGACTTCAAGTAACTGAGGTACACAAGTCATTCCTACATACTTATTTAGTATCTTGCCTTGGACTGTTGGGTACATTGGATCTACCAGCAATTCCCTTTCTCAGCAGGACAAAGTCAGCCTGAATAACTTCATCTTTATGCAGATTAAAATCTCACATACAGACAGTTACTCTGACTCATATGATGACTTGTTAACTAGTAGCAGCTTTTGGATTCTAACCGCAAGTTTGCTGGCCCACGTTGGTGTACCAGCCAAAAATATAAGTAGTTCAAGCTCCTTCTCTTGCCTAGTGAATTAATTTTGAAAGAACAAAAAAATATCCATCTGTAACAGGTCAGAAGGAAGAGTGACTTAATTTAGACCACCAGTCTCTGCCTATGGGCAAAGAACAAGTCCAATACATAGCAATGCTTTACCAGAATAGTTAGGCATCTTCAGCTATTTGTGGATCAGAGACTTCTTGAACAAAAGGTAATTTCTTTGTCCAATATGAAAAAACACCTTCCGTTTTGAAACTCACCTGCTAGTCTAATTTGATGCCCCTAGTTCTCAAATTAGAAGGGAGAGCAAGCAAGCATTTGTTTACATTTAATTATTACTATTTACATTTTCTACTTCACTAATAATTTAATTGCTTCTACCAGGTTCTCTGAGTTTTCCTTGAGAGAAATTTCTAGTCTGTCTAATCTGTATATTGTATCCCTATCACTGTATACATTTAAACATTTTTGAGGTGTTTCTTTTCTGTACTGTTTCAGCTCCACCACATCCTTCCTTTCTGAGATTAAGGGAACCCATTTGAATACAGTGTGACTTTCAACATGCTTTTTTTGCCCTTTTTTTTTTTAAAATTTTGCTCCCTACCCCTTTTCCAAAAACTTCTGCTTTCTATCACTTCAGTTCACAGCTAATGCATGCAACTTGACTACAGAATTATTATCATCCCTAAATCTAGTTCCTGAGTGGTAAAAATGAGCTCAGAGGTCATTACTGTGAAATTGTCTTCTTCATTCTGTGCATTGCACCACATATTTTTAAAATAAATTTAATTTTTTTTTTTTTTAATATCACCCATTCACTCTGTACTGGAAAGTCCTTTGGCAAATTTTCCACTGAAAGGTGCATGAAGAAGTCAGGCTCTTCAGTTAACTCTGTTGACGTACTCTTCACTACCAGACACACTTTTCCAAATCATGAATTGTTACCTTCAGGTTCAGACCGAAAGCACAGATGTCAACTGATGGCTGTTGGTTTCTCCTTTTATGATTACAGATACTACAATTTCATTCATTACACATCAGAAAATATGAAGCTTTACCATGAAAGGGTAGAACCTATATTTCCATACCATTCAGTCCTCTTCTCCAAAAAAAAATCTTAGTTATTTTACTTTCAGTTTGCAAGCTGCTATGTAGACTTAAAGGCCCAAAATAAATGTAAGTATATTTATCCCTCTATGACCGTCTCTGTTCCAAATTAATTTGTTTCTTATATGGGCATAAATAGTGTGAAACTTATCACAGCAGTACTAAATCTCCAGCTGTTCTTCCTAAAACAACGAATACGTCCATGAAAAAAAAAAATCTGCATCCGTGAAAAAAGCTGAAGCAGTTTCTAAACTGTTTCCCAAACTCAATAGCAAGCCTGCCTGGAGGATAACCTCTCCCATTCAAGCCCATACTTGACAGTGATGGTTTTTTTTCTCCCTCACTGCTGCTTTTTATACCCTTAAGCTATTCTGCAGGCAAACCTTGTTTGTCCTTTCCACTATATGAAGAAAAAAGGGTACAGACGGACAGATGACAACAGAGGGTTTTTTTTTCCCCATCATGTTTCCCAAAACAAGGATGTTTCTTTAGTCAGAGAAAAAAAAAAAAAGCGTGTGTGTGTGTGTAACTACTCTAGATCATTTTGGCCATATGATAACTAACGTTTCAATACTCCACCCTATGGGTTGTTTTTTCCTGTTTACCGATTCCAAAAGAGAAATACACAAAGCAAAGAAAGTATGTTCAGATAAAACAGATGAATCTATTTTAGGAAGAACCAGCAAATACAACAATTTATTTGTTCTGATGTTCCTTAAACATAATAAATGAATGTGCAATACAAAAGAGAACTCTGAAAAGTTGGAC